TGTAAGTAACATAGATTTAGTATTTACAAGTATACGTACAGCTTGTTTGCTTGGCCACACATTCTAAAAGCTATGCTTTGGAAAAGAACTTTAAAGGTTTCCAACATCTTCCATATTCGTCCATTATCAACCGTATTTACTCCTTTCCTTAGGAAACCACGCCGCACACACCCACCGGTATGTTTGTAATGGAAATCGTTTTCCCACTGGTAAGTGTTAGCTGAATAATAATTTTAACTAAATTTGGTCCACATATTTTCTCTTTTTTATGTTCTGCTTAATGAGCAGTGCTTACTTGCAACGTACTGCAAAGTGTGAACCGGAAGCAAAAAGCAAACTGACTCTATCCAAATTTATGTACATTTTTCCTTTATTATTTTTACGCCATCAAGCTGCTTTTGAAAACCATATAGGAACTATTAGATGGTGAACAGAAACTAACTAGCTTTCCTTCTCAAATATTCATCCCAGCTTCTTTTTCCATTGTTCCACTTTATCACATATGCTTAGCGGACCAATAAACGTAAACGCCTGAACCCGCTACGTAGCGCCAATCACATACGCCTCGCACACAGTTTTGCCAGTCGCACCTGCTGATTGCCTCAGCCTTCATGTACAGCTGTTAATTTAAATAGAAATTACGTCCATCATCCACTACCTGATTTTTGTATGTCACATACGAAGGAAATTAATGTCTAACTTAAACTTTATCTCCTAGGTATTTGAAAGTAAGTTCTAATGTTCTTCATGTCGCCACAATACTGCACATCATCCCTCATTCCAAAGAAAACGCAGTACCGTAAGTAATAAGAGCTCTCGGGCGGAATGATCCTTATGCGGCATTTTGCTAGAGACCTATAATTAATAATGTTATTTAGACTATCCCGTGGATAAGATTTAAAACGGTTGTCAAAAGTCGAGCATACTCGAAAATATTTGTTTGGCGGAATCTAATATGTATAAGTGTTATTATTATAATTAACAGTAGCAGTATTAGTAATGATTAGCGGTATATGTACTTTAAGTCCGTTGCAGCCTAAGTTTAATAAATATTTGTTTGCACACGCAGGATTGCCTTCATCTGGCATATTTCGACAGCCATTGCAAACTGGATATATCCTGATATAGGTTGACACAACATAACGTGACGAGAAATCGGAAAATGTGTAATACTCGAGGAATACGGCCGTCGAGGCAAGACCGGAATTTCACTGAGGGAGGATGTCTGGATAGTCGCACACCAAAGCCATATTGGTGCATAATTTCTGCTCAGAATCTTAAGGTCTGAAATGTTTACCTATTCAACTGGCTCCTCTACTACAAACAAATTGCCGTCTACAGTTTGAATTTATTCCTCAGGCACGGCTTGCCGCACCAATCTAGTTAGAAATTTGAATGTCGATTATAGTTAACTGTAATAAATAGATTAGTAATCCACGCTACTACTCTCTCCTGTGTTTCCATGACAAAATCCCAAGTTCTTAAGGAAGTAACTGCATTGAATCAACACATGCATCTATAATAGCCGCACTGAGCATTTGAGTTGCTCCATACCCTAAACAAAACACAAGATATATCATAGTCATGCAAACGACTACTTGAACTTTAATCAAGTACCAGCTAACCGTATGTAGGCTTCGGTAAATTTTCGATGATTCTAGTTTCCAAGCACCCCTAAATATATTCAAGGATATTCATCCTCCAAAGTGCGTACTACTGCATGCTACATATCGATGCATTCTCTATGTCAACTCCAGAAAATGTAAACTTTTTAACAGATCATTGTAGTGTACAGACAGTACACCAGAACTACTGACGCTCCACTTTGTCAATAATCGTCGCATTAGATTGTTTTGCACTTTGTGACAGAGGTACGGCAACAGAAGTAGTCAGTGTAGCTTAACCTGACTACTTTATACCATGGCACGTTACTTAACCGCTGAAATGTAAAATTTCCTTTTCGAGTAGGTGTATTCCTGGAAATTGAGCAGCTCATAGAAAGCCGGGATCAAAGCAAAACAATGACAAATGTGAACTATGGTATTACTCAAATATATGTTACAATGCAAGCAACAAATGCATCAACCATATTACTCAATGCGGAAACAAACGTGTCTTTACATAGTATGCGTTAAGTAGACAAACCCCTTTACCGGATGTATACAGAGAGATCACAAAACACATGACCCGTGCGATGGATAACGCAGGCTTTTATATTGGATCATATAAACACATGCAATAGCGCTTGTGTTTTACAGCGCACATGTGATACGATGCGTTATTCTCCCGGGTGATTTTAATGAGCAATTTTCACTAAAATGTTTATGCGCATGTTGGGATGAACGAACGAAAGGTAAAAGTGGTATATGTGGCAAGTTTCGTGGATCGATGGATTGAGATGTGCAATTTTGTTTATGTTAAAATTATGGACTGAAGCGAAAGTCAGAATTAACAGGTTGTCGCAAGCACATGCTGATAGAAGCAGAGCAGATGGTGCAGGTACCAGTTCTGGTGATCTGAGCGAGGTTCCAAAACCCAAGTACTTCTTTCTTGGTAATTTTTCACGGAGCATAGCATTGACGCAGTGTTCACTGCGGTAGGCCAAGCAGGATACTCGTCAGTTAGTAGTAGTGTATGCATAATACTACTATCTCCATTTCTTTTATCAAACTGAGATACCCCAGTTGTACTGACCGCACAGGGAAAGTAGTCATCGGCAGATAGCTGGTCACGAGTTATGGTAAAAGAAAGAATTATCGGTTCCTTAACCTTAAGCGTGGTGTTTCGTGCAGCCGAGGCATAAACACAGCCCACACTGCTACCGCAAATGCTAGTATATGACAGGCGCGTGTGTAGCTGTTACGTACAGACGTTCATCCTACAGCTCCCTTGGACCAACCGGGTGAATACGCATCTCCTTCTGTTCCGTTAAGCGCCACTAAACTTTACAGTTCCTTCGCCCGTCAATCCAATTCGCGTTCCTAATGCGGGTGTACCAAATATTGCTTGTCGGCTACCCAATCGCTGCACAGATATCGAACTAATTCTGGTGTATGCGACACACACCCTCCAATTAAAAACGTTCACTGTCTGCAAAGAGCGATTTGGCTAGTATATAAATTAGATGCGCATCAAAAGGCCAGATCGCTTATTTGCTGTAATGTTAACGTCAAAATGCATGCTGCTGGTTGGTAGGTCGCGAAATGACCGTGCACTTTATCTTTCCATACTTATCCAGTGATAGTTTTCCCCATCAAACTGTTTTGTCCATGTGTATTATCTAATCCCGTCCGATAGGTTCCAAACTACTAGTCATAATATGAATTAGATAATTTTATCAGTACCATTAGGTGATTAATGGGGAACTTAGTCTAGTTATTTGTAGTAGGCAGACGAATATGTGTTGTTCAATAAAACTCATTGGAAGTGACTTTGATGAATTAGCTAAAATATCGAAATAAGCGGTTTTTACGATTAGGTCATGTGCCTTTCAATAAATGTGCCGCGCATGCAATTAATGGGGAGGACATATTGATGTCAAGCCCAAGCTATATGAACCCATTGACATGTTCCTTTTTCCTATCAAGCACAAAGGTACTGCTAGAATCAGTTGCCCAATTCAGTGAGGAATAGTCTCTGACAGCTTGAGTACAAAACACTTAGATGCTTTTCAAGTAAATCGATGAAATGCTGCTTGTCGAAAAAGTCGCTAGGCTTGTCTAAATTCCTGCAGTCTTGAGTGGATAATATTCAAAATGCCTCTTGTGAGCGAATGCGATAAAATGGTCTAGGCAAGTTGCTTAAGCATTCTGGTTTACTTAAGTTCAGATACCACCTGTATCAATCGACTTCATAACCTATTCTTCTTCGACGCTACCACTTTCGTTCAAAAGCAATTACGTTTGCGCCATGCCAACTGGTGCGCCAACATGGTGAGTTCACCTCAGTAAGATGGATGTTTTTGATTGGTCTCTACAAACCCACTGCTTATTTTAAATTCTCCACTTCGTCCGTTGTGTGTAAGTTATTATTTCCTTCAAACTTTCATGGTAAAGGTAATAAGCTTTCAACGGTAAAAGCTGAACTACCGGTGCAAACTTTGCGTGCCTAAATAAATAAAACTCTTCTACAACACTTCCTAAAAAATAATCCATTTCTCACTAAGTACTTCATCTCCGCCTGTCCTAACAGTCCTATTGATAACAGGAGTGCTACTGAAGGATGGCAATCCGATACCATTTACAAATAAAACGGGAGTGGAAAACAATAAAGCATCTAGACATGCGGAAGATGTATGCATCAAGGTAAACAGTATAACATTGCGTTCCTTCTAGGGGTGCATATTAATCACATTAACGCAAAAACTAAGTACCAAGATATTACCTTATCCGAATCGTTACAGTTAATCTATCATTGTGACCCATACACTGACCTTATGTCTGGAATTGTGGTCTATGAGTGATAAAAGGTGTTCTATCTAATAATTACCATCTAACTACCCATTAAAACGCATTATCTACTATGGGATTTCAGCTTCGGGCCTCAATTACATCCAAGACAGGCGTGCCATACGATATGATCGGATGTATCTTTTCTTCATTATTTGCCCCTCCAAAGCAGAACTACGTCAATATCAGCGTAGGAAATAAAGGATCTGTTAAAGTTCACAATTTCGTAAATGATTTATTTGCCGTATATGAAAGACGGAGATATGACATGTACATCCCGGGCTTAAAGCTGCAACGACAATTCGGTAAATTGGTTCCCATGGTTGCAATGAAATTTCGACAGTCTCGCGTCTGCTGTCACTCTAGCTGTCTTAGTTAAACTATTGTGTTTCAGTCAGTATTGGTTCTGTTTATCCGTCGACTAGGTATTGCGCTGTTAGCTGCCACCTAATGAGAGTAGATTGAATACAGCCGTTATCATGACACACATGAGCCTAATAAGAATTTATAATTCCATGTGCCTTTTGCGTTTGTCTTCCTTTGGCTATTTAGATGATAACTTACTGTTTTCCAGAGGCTGTCATCGGTGACTGGAACGCAAGTAAGTTGCTTACAATAAAAATCCGCAGAAACCAATGACAGCTAGATCACTTCTCCCCATTTAATCTCGCTTCTAGACTAAGTGTGTATCACTACTGTCGCCACCGGACTGACGTTAGTCCGTGGGAACTGGCACGGCAAACCTAAGCAACACATCCCGCATCATTCATCAGTGTCAGCATTTCAATGCACTTGAATTCTCTTGTATCGCATGTAGCATGATGGCCCATACAGCTAGTGTGAATTCCCTATTAGCGCTAAAACATATTGGCCAAACATAGCGCTTTTCACAAAGGTTTTAAACATGGTATACCACCATGGATTGTTACTGAGTAAAACACACTAGCCCACACATGCAACTGCACATGAACTACCGCCAAATAAGCATATTACTGGCACAATAAAGGTAACATGCACCATTTTACGTAAAATTTAAGATGCTTGTAACTTTCCAATTGCCGATATTGTCAAATTAATTTAGACATCCGAATTGTCATGGGAATCGTCGGAGATGATTTAACGGGCGAATGGCGCAGCGTATATGGCAGCGCGAATGAGGTGCTGCATATTGCAGAGACGGCCTGCTTGAAAGTAAGCAACCGTTTTGAGTTAATTCATACATTTATTTCGCTGCGGTACTCATTGTGGTGACTCTTGATGATTGAAAGACGACAGTGGCCAAATAGAGTAATTGAGCCACTGTAAACCATCACACGATAATGCACACTTAACTTGAAAATACTACAAACTCCATGCGCAACTGATCCAAAGTCTCCATGTGTGGGGAGTTTTCTATCCCCGGTAACTTTGGTTTTATTTCTACAGCTTGGTCGGAAAAGGTGGCAATACTCGAGGAATTGTTCAGCAAACAATCCTAAATTCTCAGAACAGACTGGTTTATATTTGGCAGTTTATAGACCCAGTGGACAGTACGCTTACTCACTTGTTTAATTAAAAAGTTATAGCCTTTTTCATTAAAGCACTAAGTTTATACTGTAGGTTGATGGACGGTTGATCATTGCGGTGATATTCGTCGGACAGACTCGGCATATACGGTTTCATGTGTCCTTGACTGTAACACAGGTGTAACATCTCATGCACTTATTGGCCCACGATTATCCACTGTGGGAGCCAGATTGATTTGTAGACAACGCATCAAGAAACTGTGACAAAAGTGGCAATTTATTATAAATTTCTACGCATAATCTTGATGCTGTCAAAGGTAGTAATTTCACTTTTTATGGATTTACCGTGCTAATGAATATATGACATTTTCGTCATTTGATCTCCTTTATTACTAGTATGACGAGATGGCGAATACTGTGAAATTACCGGGCTACAAGAACTTTACTTGCGTTGTAACCGGCCCAGACCGAGGGTATTTGAAAGCGGATTTTATGATGCAGTTGGAGTCAGATGAAGTGGACACCAACACGTTAACAAAAGGGGACTTTGAAAAGCGAAACACAGGAATTGGTTACGAGCTTACTAACTTGCAACTTATACCCATAATTGCTCCACGTTAATATGCATAATCAAGCATTACATTAAAAATCAGTGTATATGTGCTAATTCAAGGTGAACAAAAATCGTGTAATTGTTAAAATAATTTTTTCAGCAAAATGCGTGTATACTATACACGCAGCAGAATGATGGGTTAAATTCAACATGATTCAGCGCATATGTATTCCTTTAAGTAATAAATAAATAAATAAATATATTTGACGGACCTGCGCAACAGACCAAAATGGAATAAACACAACATTATCCTTCGCACTGAGGAATTGACCACACCATGATAAGTGGCAGTTAGCAATTAAGTGCGAAAGCAAAATGACTTCATACGAAGGGTGCGTTCGGGTAGGAGAATTCAATCGATATCTAACCTAGAGTTAGCCTGCTCACGCTGTTTCAAATAGGGTAATCCGAACTGTGCAAATGTTTCGCAAGTATAGGTAAGAATTCGGAACGGTTCTCTAGACAACCTACAACCTTTTGTATTGCATATCAGACCATTCTAATTGTCAAGTGTATGCTTATCATTTTTTGTATTTGCGAATAGTTATTAACGGAAATTGAACTGCGAACGAACGCTAATATTGATGTATTGGAAACCAATGTGTATCAGGAGAGCGTTGTGCGCTCTAAGCAAAACCAATATGCACAGTTTGCCTTAACGGAACCAAGAGCAGCATAGTTTCCATCGCCGTAATGTCCTTCCAATAATGACAGAACGACAGGTAGAAACAGACCGAAGCTCTGACACCCAAGCGGTATTCATGATAAAGAAGATCAGCCGCCACCCAAAAAGTGCTATCTATCAGGTTCCAATAGTTCTAACAAGTTGTATCCTAAGCGAGGATGGCTTAGCCGGACACGAGTCTTGGCATCCACAATTCAAGTGCTAATGGTTGAGTTCACAAAAGCTGGGACTTTATGCACATACGCAGAAATCGCTGCAAAGTTCATCCAGGTTATTATAATTATGGTCCCGGGCGAGCAAAGAGACAAATCGTAGACCAACAATACTTGGCCTAGATCCAGGACCAATGATCACCCGGACTTGCAGCTCAAGAACAAATAACCCTACAATAACTCGCTAATTTTTTTAAACTCAAGTGTGCCAGAACCTACCAACAACACATTACGGAGTAGCTTGTCTAACAACTAAGGCCAGCGAACTCTTCGTGCATTCTGATGAACGTGAAAGCCAAACTCACAAGTTTGTACAAATAGCTAAGTGACAGAACTCTGCGCAATATGTTGAACACATTATATTAGGAACACGGTTGCATGCTCCACTTAGGTAGGAGACTTAGCACAGTCTGCAAGTGCGTTACAGCAGAGCTGCTGTGCGGTAGACATCAATTACGACTTCTCGTAAAGCGCACAATGGTTGAAAATATATAGGAAATATGCAGTAAGCGGGATCGCGTACATACGTTCTTTATCCTTGGCGTTCCACAGGTTACTTCGCGCACTAGACAAGAGATCGGGAAGCAAGACTCTGGACACGGGCCAAACATTGGTTTAGTCAGAGAAAACCGTAAAGGAAGAGTTAGAAAATGGCAAGAAAATCGAAAAGGTCTTCCGTCAAAGCCACAGTTTAAAGCTGTAGAAACCTTACAAGGACCGGACGTGAACCCCTCTGAAAAAGCGAAGCTGTGTGGGATTGCAAAATACTTTTACTTGGATTCTCTATACGGAGTTCGGTCATGGGCCCTGACAAATAACCCACCGTACCTTGGACAAATTATGCTGCGGACAATGCGTGATTATCCTATCAAAATAAATGAATAAGGACCGAGGTTACTTTTATCAGCATTCTCTTGTAACTGATTTATTTATCTCCCGTTTGGGCATTAAATACTGAGAAACTATACTGCAGTTGGCAGTTAAACTATTTGCTAAGCTTTGAATGTTGTCGCAACCCTTTCGTCATCAATGCAGGTGACATGATCAGTGTGTAGTTGATTTGCGTGTTGTAGGGTAGAGTAGGGTTGAGGAGCCTCGACGGGGAATGCGCTGAACGTGATGTGCGTGCGTTTTTATACCGCAATCAAATTGTTTGGTGCTACGAGCCGCGTTCAGCTTGATTGATGGGCAGTATCCCTTTGACCTTGACCCCTTGTGTTCCGTGGCCTTTGTCTGTTTGCTCTTTTGAGCGAGTCTGTCGTCAATTCTGGTTGTCTAGTCACCCGTTCCACCGGATTCAATCGATCGAGTTGGCACTCGTTCGATAGTAGTTTTGCGTATACTGCATCCTGTTCAAAGTGTTGGTTGATTGAATTTGTTGTTAAGTACCAGGCTTCCAGAAACTTCGCGTGTTTTGTACTACCACGTGCTAGGATTTTTACATTAACCAGATCATATTGGTGCCCTTCGTTAACTTCATGCGCAGAAAGCAATGAATACGGATCATGTCTTTTGACCGCAGCCCAGTTTTCGGGTATTCGTGTACAATGCTTTCTTTCACTTTGTTCGGCATACGTTTTATCACAGTCGCTGCATTTTATATAGTGGATGACATTGCATTGTTCGGCTTGATTGACCTTCTCTTTGGGTTCTGAGAGCAATAACTTGTGGGTGGTACTTAGTTTGTGAGCCACAGATATTACATTTGACTGCAGATATCGTAATGTTAGTTCAGCGATATTGTTGATGTAGGCAAAGACTGTCCGTCCTTTCGCTTGCTCAGGTGAATGCTGCTGCTAGTGCTAAGACATTCGTTCCTCTAAGCTTCTTCTGATGAAATTGTTCAGATAACCGTTGTCTCTAAATACTCTTTTAAGTTGATTTGTTTCCTGTTTTTGCGATTTTGCTGTGTTGCATTGCTGCATTTATAACATTGTTCAAGGCTGTTTCAATAGGCTGACCGAACTGAAAGATCGCTAAATGACTAAGCCATTGGTTCTCATCGGTTTGCATGAGAACGCATTATAAGGTAGAATAATGTACGCTAGATTTCCGCTGTAAGACATATCACGCATCCGAAAGGACAAGGTTACAAACGGATCAGGGTTACGTGTGCATTACCGATGTGATCTGCAGCCCGTATCGGTGGGAGATTCAGACACACAGTTTCCTGATTCGTTTTAGTCGCACCTGCAATCAAAAGGCAGATACATCTTCCTTATAGCTCTGGTGCATAGCTCCCAAACTTGACACCTGAAATCGACTGTAAACTAACAAGCGCTATACAATATACTATGAGCCATGAATGCAAGCATCTCATTTTCATGAGTGAAGTCTTTGTACGTTGTTTAGGAACCTCTGCCGAATAAAGACGATCTGCAAGAAATCGGTACAAAAGCTGTGCTTTACAATCGGGTTATTTTATTCGCTCCAGTTAACAGAGGATACAAGCCAACTGTGCTTGAGTTTGTGTTTACCAACGATGAGCAATTAGTTGGTGTATCGGTTGTAGACCGCTCGTTGATTCACACTGATCACGCAGTCATCATTTTCTGCTTTATCTGCTATGTGGAATAGCGTAGTGAGGAACCTCAATATGATGCGTACTTTTACACAACTAGACAAGTTCCAGTTCGGCCACAATTTAACTCGGCTCTCCCATCGCCCTCTGTGGCCTTCCCTAATACTCCCCACACACTATTGCGAGTGCACTTGTTCAAACCTGCTCGACTAGCTCTACTCAGTGCTTCCCAGCTCTTGGATTTAACCTGTGTGGATTATACTCTTGCTCCAATTCAAAGTTTTCGGCATATTCTTTGCCGAATTCCGCTTGTGTAACTACATCAAACCGATTTTCGGAAAAGATTTTGGTCTTATTCGGTAGAAGGAGCTGAGGGCTCTCAAACTACGCGGTAACCATCCCTGCAAGTTGCAACATAACAAAGCTACATCCTTTTTGCTCCGCTCATCAACTGAACAGCTCTAGGGACGCTTATCAACGGTCCACTTGCATCGTCGCTTAAGGCAGGCTGATTAACACACGCTGCCGCTTTGTGTGGCTGTGTGTGTTCAATTGCGAGTCGATTAATCGCTGAACCCCACAGTCTTCGCGTTATTACCTCCATTTGCATCTTCCGCCTGACCTTGAACAACTCTCAATTCGTGTGCGTGTTCTGACCTATTCGTGCGTCATCCCTAGCGCAAAGAACACTCATCAAGGTGAGCGCTTTGAGAGGCCTTGCTGTAAACAATGAGAGGTCGACTAGCAATGCAATGGTTCAACGTCGCCTATGTTGCGCAGACAATTGCAGTAAAGCCGTTAGATAACCATTAACTGTTCTAGCTGCATTAGATCGTACTGTCCGCAATGTGTAGACAAATAAGTCCAAGAAGACAGACAAACCAAGTTGCTGACACAAGTTGGTTTTGCCCAACATGTCAAGTCATTCCATTTGTCAACTGTTTATATTTGCTCATGAAAAATGCAATAGAATGACTGAGATAATCGCACATTTTGTAAATACTAACATCGCTACCTCGGAGGTAAGTGTGGCCTACGATTATACATCACCCAGCCAAAGTAAGCTCCGAATCCAAGCCAAGGAAGAGAGCTAGATGCTCCAACCGCACTGCAGCGTCTGTGACTCTAAATACGCTGTGTCATCTCACTCTCATAAATGGACAAGTCTCAAACATGCCTGCTTCCACTTCTCCAACCATAGACGCTTCTATTGGAGATTTAACCTTGACACCGACAGCTCAGAGCAGAAGCCAATCCGGTGCAGATAACAAGCAGGTAAAATACGCATCGATTGCGTCGACAAACACACCAGGAGCGATAAACATAGGTCCATCTTCAGTACGGAGCGCGCGTGGCGCAAAGCAGCTTTCACCGTCAAATTCAGTAGTGCCTTCTAAACAACCCGATTTGCCGGCCAAAATTGTAAAGCCAAAACTCGCTAGACAAAACCACGCAGCGTTAACTCTTGTGTGCAAAAATGTTCCCGAATCCAAATCTGGCAAAATTAAAGGCAAGTTGCAAGACGATCGCAACTAGTGGAGTTCCATCTGCGAGGCGATTGGTATTCGGGTTGAGCCTGCAATGCTGCAA